CATACAGGGTGCCCATTATGTATGGAATATAGTATATATCTTGGTAAGTATCAACTTTACAAAAAAACATTTTATACAAAAGTTGTTTAATATTTGATTTGCCATAATAAGACACCATTCAATTGTTTTTATTTCAGAAAACAAATGAGCAACGAATAACATTTAATTTTTTTTAAATGGCAATGTACCCTTTCGTTAGGCTCATTTGATAGAGATTTTTTTTCTCTTTACGATGACGTAAAATTTTAGTACCCTTATACTAGAAAATTTTTGAAAAAAATGTAAAAACAGTTTATTAAGTTAATTTTGCCAATAACATGAATCTAGATATCCGAAATCTTATTTGTCCTAACAATTGAATGTAAGCTATTGAATGTGACAGAATCTTGTTTATTTAAATAAGTTGGTAGATCAAAAAAGAAAAATGGTTCATTTAACAGAAACTGAACGCATAGAAATTTTAATTATGGTCGGTTATGGGGATCGCAAACGAACACAATTAGAAGTATGTGAAATTTTCAATGAGCGTTATCCACATCGAGAACCAATCACTCAATCAGTAGTTAGCAAAACTTCGAAACGTTTTAGGGAAACTGGTAACGTTAAAGATCTGCCAAAGACTGGTCCGCAGAGATCTGCAACAGATGAAGATAAAAAGATCGATATTCTCATAGAAATCGAAGAAAATCCAAATATTTCAACTCGTCAGTTATGTTTAAACCATGCTCTAAGTAAAGGTTCAATACACAAAATATTACATGCAGAAAATTTACATCCGTACAAACCGACTTTATTGCAAGAATTATCCGAAGATGACTACGGTCGACGTGTTGAATTTTGTGAATTTATGATGGAGCGAATCAACAGCAATCCAAATTTTCTCAATAATATGGTTTTCTCTGACGAGGCTACGTTTTGTTTAAATGGTAATGTAAATAAGCAAAATTCTCGATATTGGGCCGCTAAAAATCCCCATTGGATGATTCAAAATCATACTCAAACACCACAGAAATTAAACGTATGGGTGGGAATTTGTGCAGATCACATAATTGGACCTTTCTTTATTCGAGGTACTCTAACTGGTCACCGTTATTTACAATTATTGCAACAGCAAATTATCCCAGCTTGCCAAGAAAATCTTGATGATCTTTGGTTTCAACAAGATGGGGCACCGCCCCACTATCATTTAGATGTACGCCGATATTTAGATACGGTATTTCCGGCCCGTTGGATAGGCAGAAGAGGGTCTGTAGAGTGGCCACCCCGATCTCCGGATCTTACACCTTGCGATTTCTTCTTCTGGGGATATTTAAAATCTAAAGTTTATGTAAACCGACCTCAAAATCTGACAGAATTAGAGCAACGAATAAAAGATGAAGCTGCAGCTATTTCTCCCAGATCGCTAAGAAATTCTTTTCAAGCCTTTTATGATAGATTGGGCCACTGCCTTGCAGTTAATGGTGAACATTTTGAACATTTATTGTCGTGAAAACCATTTTAGTGCTAATTTCGTTTTGTCTTCAAAGTTTAATAATTTTCATTTACACTAATTTTTAGTTTATTTGTTTTATTTTGTATGTAGATTTAATTTACGGTAATAATTCGAGGTAGTTGACGATCTCGGATATCTAGATTAATGTTATTGGTTAAATTTTCTTAATAAACAATTTTTACATTTTATGCAAAAATTTTCTGATGTAAGGGTACAAAAATTTTACGTCATCATAAAGAGAAAAGAAATCTCTATCAAATAAGCCTAATAAAAGGGTACATTGCCACTAAAAAAAAATTAAATGTTATTCGTTGCTCATTTGTTTTCTGAAATAAAAACAATCTGCAGTCTTATTCTACAGTCTTATTATGGCAAATAAAATACTAACCAACTTTTGTATAAAATGTTTTTTTATAAAGTTGATACTTGCTAAGATATATACAATATCCCATACATAATGGGCACCCTGTATATTGCGAGTTATATGAAATTCCCGGTATAACGTGATTCCCACAGTTTATTAAAAGTAAGTAGTTTATTAAATATTAAGTTTATTAAGTATAATGATACTAAGTTTTAGGTTTATTTAGAGAAGCCAAAAAAAGACAGAAACTTAAAGATATGTTCCAACAAAATGGTGAGGTCGCATTTTTGAGTATTATGTTAAACAATTTGAATGACGCAGCAACAATTATTTACAATCAAGTTATGTTTGAAAATGGGCATCGATAATATTTCAGTATTTTGGTGTTTCGTAATGAAATAAGTTTGGAAAACGTATTACCGACATTTATTAATCCGGTTTTAGTTTATGGTTAAGCAGAATTGTCATAATTTACAATAACAAAATCCGTTAAATCGGGTCTGGAATCTAGTGTGCCATTGACAAAACTAAACTAATTTTGGAACTGATTGCAGGGGCGTAGTAAGCGTTCTCGCCCCTTGTCAAATAACTCATCCACAGCATCGGACAGATATGTTTAATTACCGGCGGCTTAGACCGGGACGATGCCAGATGGGCCGTTTCGCTTTCCTGTGCGGGACACTTCCGGTTTCGACGTCTTTGCGGCCTGTCAATGGATTTAATTGGTAGACGGCGATATTTTCCGGATCGAGGTTAATAAATCGCCGATGGTTCAGTTCGCATTATTAGAACGTTATGAAATATGAAAAGAGGGGTCAAAAACCTCTACCTCTTCGCAGCGAGAGGAAAATAGAGAATGGAAAAAGGGAGCCGATCGTGGATTTTGTTTCATAAATTACGACCATCCGAGGATTATTCAGTTGAATTATGCGCACCGATCAATCGGCGCGTCGCGCGACAGAACTGGCGAATTAGGCCGGTTGCAGTACGGACGCCCTCTACAGCCCGATTTATGTTCGGCGACGTTCGCAAACTGACAATTTAACGCGTCCGCTAACTAGATACATAACGTTGTACGTGACGCGAGCCCAACCCTGCTAATCGGTCCTAATGGTCCGATGCTGGAGCGCACCAATTGGGAAAGTTATCCAGCAGGAGTTTTAAACTGGCTTCTGGGTCATTGCTTCCATTCCTCTCAAGAGGCGACTGCTTGTTAGTTTCTTTAAATCAACTACGAAAATATTATCGTGCATGAAAAATATAATCGGATTTTCATTCATATTCATTTTATGCACCACTACTTCTGCAATAAATTTTTACTTTATGATTTACAATCCGTTAGATGTTATTTCCTGAGGTTGTTGCAATAAATTTCGAAAAACGGTGTAAATTAGCTTACCTATAACGGTCAAGTTATAACGGAAGCTGCGAGTCTGTGCGTTTCGGAAGTCGACACGACAGCGGTAGACGCCCTCATCGTGACGCCGGATGTCGTTGATGACGAGTTGCGCCGGTTCCGACACAGTGTTGAAGTAGGCCCTCGATCCAAACACTTCCGGTGCAGACCAATGGCGTGCTTGCGAAATCGGCTTACCGCGTACATCAAAACTGAAAATGAAAAAGAATTCAAAAAATTAATAAAATAAAAATAAGTTTAATTGTTCAAACCCAAAATAAGTTAAAATTGAAAATTAGTAGAATAACATGTTTCATAAACCTTTAATCCGGTTGGTAAAATCGAATGTATGCAGATGATATCGTGGAAATTTCGACGAACCGTTTATTTATCGACACACCGCTAACACGAATAACTAAAATCACGGCCTATTTATACAGTACTAGAAATATCGAAATAACGGGGGATTTCGAAAAGGGGCGGATGGTGGTCTTATTGGTTTTCGCACAACGCGCGTTGCTGTTGTTGGCGGCAAATTTAAATTTTTATTGATATGGACCAAAATAATACGTTGTTAGCGGCGGCGCTCCGGGTTGTTATTATTTAAATTAGGTCGTGCACGACTCGGCTTGAATAAAACCTGAAAACGGCTCGTGCAATACCCGGTACGGCAATATCGAAATATCCAATGTTGAACCCTGTATTGGACCAAACATAGACTCGATACGAATTTTATTAAACTAAAGCTGCTTTGTTCTTCAATGTATTCTATGTTATTGCGCACACATCCAACTTTTTCTCTATTATAGAAATATGAATAAAGGCACAAATAAATTATGAACAAATAAATAATAAATGAAGATAAATAATGTTATAATAAATAAATAAAAAATGTGATAAAAACGGGATTAATTAAAATCTGACTCGTGTAAGTTTCGTATTAGTTACGAAACCATCATCATCGGAGAGTATTAATTAAGGAGATTCGAAAGTTTTATTAAACTACCATAAGGGGGTACAATGGAGTTCGTATTAATTGCATCAAAGGGGACAATACAACTCATTTCCAAGTTTTAGGCCCATCTATTAATGCTTATTTTAAAGTTTGCAGACGCCCCGTTGTTAAACTTAGATTATGGGTTGGGGTGTAGTTCGAAATTTCTCTCCCATTCCACAGCAATTTTATTTATGGTAAAATTCTTTCCGTATTTTCCGCAAATTAATTATGTATTTTGAGATAAAATAAGCAAAAAGTTGACGTGGGTGGGATTAAATAAGGTTATATAGTTGATATGAAAGTTTTAAAGATAAACAGTAAAGTAGCGTAACAAACGCTTGTAGTAAAGCACGGACCATGAAAAGCAAATCCGTATTTCTGTCACGTGCGCTGCGCGATGTCGTCTTATATTTTATGTATCTGTTAAATATTTCATGTGGCGCCTCAAGTAGATCTTTATTTCATAATTCAGTTTGGTACCGGGCGTCGTCTTAGATGTTTTATTTTTTCTTAGGTGGAAAATAAACCACGTTAACGCTCGTATACTGAATTTCACGATACGGCGACGGCCCTCGTCGGTATCGTATCCAATAAAGTATCAAACCAAAAAAGAACCGTATCGGTTTATGTTTATTTATGTATACATTATCCGCCCTTAACCTCTGAGTTTTATACACTCTCCAAGTCTTGCGACTTTAAGTTGAAACACAATCGCAGTCGGATTTTTATTGAGTATCCACCCGGAGAAGAATTATAACGCACTTACCTTCCCCGCTTGCAACGAATCGAAAGCTCGGTTTACAGGCTACAAATAACGTACTACAGGAACCAACCCTCTTTTTCCGATACTTTACGTAACCAATTACATCAGATTTAACAGATATCTACTCGCTAGAAAAGTTGGAGATAGGCCAAGCAGTACCTCGACGCTACATAATTTTACAATTTTTCTTCTAGTTCGATCGAAACTTTATTGAACAATAAAACAACACAATAAATTTGAAAATGTAAAAACAAAACTTGCAGCAAAGGTTATAAATGAATATTTGATTTCTTATGTTGTAATATTAAAGTTTAATGTAATTTAAATATTATTTTTTTGTTTCCAGGAGAATCAATTTCAGAAGATCTAGAGGAAGATCTATAAAGATCTAGAGGAGAAGATTTAAGAGGTGATTCTTTGTCGAAAATTAAACTCAATTTTATATATGGACCATAAGAAGGGAATGGGTTACAGTAACCTTTATACCGAAGAATGGAAAAAGGAACCCAAAGGATCCTAAAGCCTTTCGACCAATTAGTCTCTCATCTTTTCTTTTAAAGACACTTAAAAACTTTATGATCATTACATTAGAGAAAATGTACTTACAGCGTTTCCTTTGCTTTTGCATCAGCATGCTTAAATCAAAGGTAAATCTGGGGATATGGTCTTACACATGGTGGTGGTGCGCATTGAGCAAGCACTCGATTCGAAGGAGTCTATATTGGGAGCTTTTCTTGACATAGAGGGAGCGTTTGACAAAACCACCTTTAAAAATATTAGCCGTATGAGAAGAGTGCCAGTAATCATCGCGGGTTGGATAAAGACAATGCTAGCAAGAAGAGTTGTTCAGGCCAAGGCGAAAAGTCGCACAGTACACAGAGCTGTGGTTAGAGGCTGTCTACAAGGTGGAGTACTCTCACCGCTTCTCTGGTGCTTAACGGTTGATGACCTCATTCGGGAGTTAAATAATAAACATCTTTTCACAGTGAAGTGTTATCTTAGACAAAGGACTAACTTGGAAATCACACATTAGTTGCAAAACCAAAAAAGCAACGATTGTACTTACCCAGTGTCGAAGGACAATTGGGAATACTTGAGGATTAAATCAATGTGGATTTACACGTCTGTGATAAGACGCAGTGATAGCTCACGCAGCCATAGTTTGATGCTTAGCACTGAAACATACCTTTAAGGCTAAATTGCTGCATCAATTGATAGCCACGATTGCGCTGGAGACTATGCAGAACGTGCTGCCCCTAGATATTTGCGATAGATGGAATTAGACTGCAGTAGATGTCTTTGAAAAGAAAACTCTGCTCTACCCTGACCGGAAGAGATCTACCCAGTTCCTGGGAAAATCAAAAAGTGACTTGAGGCTCCTCACCCACTTCCTGATCGGACACTGCAGGTTACGTAAGCACATATTCTACATGAAGCTGGCAAATACATCGCTCTGTAGAGGGTGTAAAATGGAAGACGATACGATAAGTCATATTGTTTGTGACTGTCCCAACCTCGCGTACTTAAGGGAATCCACTTTTGGCGTACCATGGCCCCAAATTTCGGATATAAAGAACATACCCTTCTGTTCTATATTAACGTTCATTAAAACCTTGGGTTGGTTTTCTGACCCCTGAATGAATTGTAAAATGTGGGGGTGTACAAAGGGCCTAAGTGCTTACAGAGAATTGTTAGAAACCATGAAATTGCCCATATGGCTAGATTTTACGTGGAAAAGTATCTTTTCCTTGAAAGGATACCTAATCCAACCCAACCCAATTCAATCCGACCCCACATAACCCAACAAGTCAAGATTGCAAGCCTAGGAGGCCTTAACATGATCTTGGCACCTTAATCGTCANTGATAAGACGCAGTGATAGCTCACGCAGCCATAGTTTGATGCTTAGCACTGAAACATACCTTTAAGGTTCATATCAGGTTCTTTCAGTTCCGTATCACTTCAGTATCAGTAACATCCGTGGCTTCTCAGTGACGCATATCTACACACGTCCGTGAATATAATACATACGTTCCGTGTTAATATTTTTTGGTCAGTATTGTTCAAGATGTTTACGGACACGGAGCTAGCAATGGTAGCTATAATTTTGGATGATGAAGAGCAGGAGCTGCACTAGGCGAAGAAGCGAAAGTGGGTGCATGAAGCATGGAAGAAAAGAGGCACTGAAGGAGAATTTGCAACTTTGTATAAAGAATTAGTGGATGATGCGACAATGTTTTTTGAATATTTTCGTATGTCAAAGAATTGTTTTAATATATTGCTGAAGAAAATAGAAATAAAGCTACGAAAACAAGATACTCATTGGAGAAAGGCTATTTCACCGAGGGAACGGTTGGCAGTTTGTTTAAGGTAAGTTAAATAATACCTATTTCTACTAGGAATAAGTTTTTATTATTTACATAGGTATGTTATTAAACATATTGAAAATAATTACGTAGGAAATGTTCGCGCTTTAAGAACCTGAAAAATATTAAAAAATCATAAAATATAAACAATAATTATTACCTTTTTAAGTATAATGTTTGTTTGTTTGGTCAGGTATCTAGCTACAGGAGATTTCCTAAAAACAATTTCATTTAGCTACCGCTTGGGACATGCTACTGTACAGAAAATAGTCGTGGCTACATGTAGGATCATAACTGAAAACCTAATGTCTGAAATGCTACCAAATACTACGGAAGAGATGTGGAAATCCATTGCTGATAATTTTTATATGCTTTGGAACTTTCCTAACTGTTTAGGAGCATTAGATGGGAAACATATTAGTATACAGGCTCCCCATAATAGCGGTTCGTTGTTCTTTAATTATAAGAAGACGTTCTCTGTTGTTTTGTTGGCACTTGTTGATGCAAACTACAACTTCATAGCCGTTGATGTGGGTGCATACGGAAAAAATAGCGACGGGGGAATTTTTGCAAATTCCAGTCTAGGAAAAGCACTTCAACAAAACAGTTTGTCAATTCCACAAAATGCTGCTTTGCCAAATACAGCAACTGAAGCTCCATTTGTAATTGTAGGGGACGAGGCCTTTCCCCTGAAAACTTATTTAATGCGACCATATCCCGGAAAAGATTTAGATGGTCCTAAACGCATTTTCAATTATCGTTTATGTCGTGCCAGAAGGATTGTTGAAAACGCATTTGGCATTTTGACACAAAAATTCCGAATTTATAACAGACGAATTCAGGCTAAAGCAGAAAATGTTGATTACGTAATACTTACAACATGTATACTACATAATTTCATTAAAAAAATTGATACGAACACCTACAAACATGACATTACAAGTACCACCGTAGCGGAAGAAACTAAGCTTGAAAAGTTGCCAATGCAAGGTGGAAATACTACGAGAGATGCTTTTCGGGCAAGGGAACTCTTCAAAGATTTCTTCAACGCAGAGGCTGGGTCGGTACCGTGGCAAAATGACAGAAT